AGAATCCACATGAAAGCCTCGATTTGATAAAGCTATTTAAGAGCATGACTCGAATTTTCAGGTTGATGTTTTGGTTTCATTGCTCTTATTATTAACTTGTTTGTTTTGTTGATGTTAATGTAATTAGCTAAATATGTAAATATAATGAATGAGATTTCAATTCCTTTACTTGACAGGGAAGTTTCTGAATCAGATCTGCTAGGAGCCTGCAATGCTCATGTGAACTGGTGTCAAGAATCATTACGGATAGCCACAGAGTGTCGTTACGCTCATGAATACGGAGAGATAAGTGCCAGAATGTTTCCTTCAGTGGACGAATCTGTTGAACAGGTACAGGGAGCTGAATTGATATTGACTGATACGGACACTTCGGAAATGTAACTATTATTATTATTATTATTATTAAAAATTATTATTTTATACTTCCAGAAAAATCTCATTTTCAGAAAAGAAAAAAATATGTGTATCAATATTTCAACACTTTCTTCAAGTTATATACAAAGCAAGAATGTCTATAAATATAAATTGTGTGCATAACTTGAAGAAAAACGTACTGTTGAAATATCTGTCTATATTTCTGAGATGAGGTATTATGTACACTATTTACATTATTCGGACTATTGTCCTCATCTTTGTCGCCATATTTACAGGCGCAAAGCCTTTTTTCACCATATTTTTTCACCATATTTGTCGCCATATTTATTACTTTTCGGCCGTTGTACGTTCCGGTCTTCTTCAGTATCTGTCTGTATTTCTGAGATGAGGTATTATGTACACTATTTACATTATTCGGACTATTGTCCTCATTTTGTCGCCATATTTATTACAACGTTTCTGTCGTTGTATGTTCTGGTCTTCTTCAGTATCTGTCTATATTTATGAGATAAGATATTATGTACACTTTTTACATTATTCGGACTATTATCTTCTATTTATCTTCTGTTAATTCCCCGCTCCAAGTTCTCCACTACCTTAACCGGGTATTGAACTCACACTCTTTTGGATCTAACTAACGCCCTTATCCACTGTGCCATGTGTCCTTGAGGACATCTGTGTATGAATTTCTGGGTATTATAAACCTAATATCTTTTTTTTTGGTAAAAAATGGTTGCTGAAGACATTAGTTTTATAATACCCAGAAATTCATACACAGATGTCCTCAAGGACACATGGCACAGTGGATAAAGGCATTAGTTAGATCCAGTGACAGGACCCAAAAGAGTGTCAGTTCAATACCTGGTTAAGGCAGTGGAGAACTTGGAGAGGGAAATTAACAGGAGATATCTGATATCCATTAAACATGGCATGTGGAACTAGAACAGTCTACCCCAGTGAGCAAAATAAAGGGTTCAGTTCGACATTCCAACCACCTGAAGAAGGCTGAAACGTTATAATAAATATGGCGTCAATAGTCTGAATAATGTAAATAGTGTACTGTTGAAATATTGTTAATTATTGGGTCTTTTTTTTTCCTTTTCTGTACATCATACTCTTCTGGAAGTATATTACCATTATATTAATTTTTATTGATTCCTTTGATTTCTGTTGTATACTTATTACTTTCCGGGTCCCATCCAGAGACCTACAATCAGAAATGGCTTCATAACATTTTCCACTGAGCATTTTGGTAAAAAAAAAAAGAAAAAGAAAAAGACAAACTAAGATCACAGACATTTTACATATATAAAGCCGGTTTTAAGGTGTAGCCTGTACTTGTGAGTACAATGTTTTGTATTTCTTTAAGGCATGGCCTAACAAGAATCCCTTCAATGAGTCTGTTGGAATATTTTCTAATCAATCCGAGGGATCCAACTACAACCGGAATCATTTATGTTCTTATCTGCCACATTTTTGAGATTTGTACTTCAAGATCTTTGTATCTTGATAGTTTTTTTTTAAAGATCTTCAAAGTTACATTACAATCTGCAGGGAGCGGCCATGTCAATAAGAAAACACATTCTGTTTTTATGGTCTTTGATCACGATGTCTGGGCAATTAACTTTGGTTGTTCTGTCTGTTGTTGTTGTTATTATTATTATTATTTACTTTTTTATTTATTGTTAATATAGCAAAAATATTATTATTATTATTATTATTTTCTTATTTCCTTCTTAATAGAGCCACAGTAATTTTCTTCATTTTTATTATATTCTTCTCCTTCTACTTCTTTTCTTCTTAATATGGCCTCAATAATTTTTTTGACTTTCATTATATTCTTCTTCTATTTCTTTTCTTTTTCTTCTTCTTTTCTTGTTACTTTTTTTTTATTCCTTCTTAATATGGCCACAGTAATATTCTTGATTTTTATTATATTCTTCTTCTTTTACTTTTTTTCTTCTACGTCTTTTCTTCTTTTCTTATTACTTTTTTTATTCCTTCTTAGTATGGCCTCAGTAATTTTCTTGACTTTCATTATATTCTTCTGCTTCTTCTTCTTTTCTTGTTACTTTTGTTATTCCTTCTTAATATGGCCTCAGTAATTTTCTTGACTTTCATTATATTCTTTTATTGTGTACAACGACGAGGTTTTAGAGAAAATGGAAACAAAAAGGAAACTTATACTTAACATCAGGAAGAGACAGTTGATATTTCTACAGAAGGATGATATTTGTCACGACCTTGTATTTGAAGTAGTGAATTATGTTGTTATTTTCTCTTCGAGTTACATGTGATATCCATTAGTGGACAGCTCATGTAACTCTTAATATAGTCAAAATAATAATAATAATTATTATTATTATTTATTTTCTTGTTACAATTTTTCTTTTTCATAATATAGTCAAAATAATTTTCATTATTATTATTATTATTATTATTATTATTGGTAGTGGTAAGCGGAGGAGGAGAAGGAGGCTAGCCTCCACCATAATAACTTTCTCCTTAACATTGTTGATGTTTCTCCACCTCTTCCCCCCTGGGCAGAGTAGCCAAAATGACGTCACCAGCAACATACCACGACCTCTGTTGTCATACGGCAGGGAAAAGTCAAGATACGTGTCCAAAAGGTCAAGCCTCAGAAGCGCATCTGGACCGTTCCGGACACGACCATCCAATGGTTGTTGCCCCAGGCCCCACAACTCTGCAAGAACATGCAACAACAGCAACACCAGGCTCTGCAAAACACTCGCAGACTCGCGAAGATCACAGGTAGGTAGGTCGGTAGGTAATAACGTAAGAGGTGCTTTCTGGTCGGAACCTGTAGTAAGAACATTAAATGGTAGCGGGTGGGGGTTTAAAACGGACGTGTCAGGCGTAGAAGTCAAAGACGCGGACAGAGAGCAAAGTCTTTCGAACCGTGTAAGGGCGGGGTTTAGAGAAGTCAGGTTATTGACACAATCTGTGGTTCTAGCGAGTAAACAATATGCTGGGCGGTCGAGGTTATGTATATAGGTTTTGGGGTGAGGTTGTGAGTAAGGATGGGGGGGTTGGTAGGCAGAACGTCTCTTTTGAGCCAGGAGCATTGAGTAGGCGTAAAGGTTTTGACCCAATCTTGTCACTCGGCTCATTTGCTTTTGTTTCCGCCCGTTGAACAGTGTACAGGTTTGAGACGAGTGGCGCGGGGTAGGAGGGTAATATACGTATTATATTTTTTTCGTTGTTATTTTTATACATTTATAGAGATTCACATTCATTTTTTTGTAAATTTTTTTTAGAAATGTCTGCAATTTACATTTTAACGGTTATTCATGCTAACAAAATTATATTATTAGGTTTATTATTATTAGGTTTCGAAATATCAGTTTTCAAATAGATTTTTCTAATTATTCTACTAATACTTAGTAATTCGGGGATCAGTTTATTACTTAATATCAATTAAAAACCGATCCCTCAAAAAACCGATCCACCAGAATGCTAATGTTAATGTTATATTAACCATGCTTTCAAATGCCCTTACTATTATTAGGTCTTCACGCGTGTATTTTAGTACACTTTTCTAATTAATATAATATTTAAAAATTCTGGGGGATCAGTTTACTACTTAACACTAACTGAAAACCGATCCCTCAATTAATATCCACCAAAATCTAAATGTTAATATTATTTTAACCATGCTTTCAAATGCCCTTACTATTATTAAGTCTTCACGTGTGTATTTTAGTACGCTTTTGTAATTAATATAATATTTAAAAATTCTGGAGGATCAGTTTACTACTTAAAACTAGCTGAAAACCGATCCCCACCAAAATCAATTAATATTTTAACCACCAAAATCTAAATTAGTTTTCATATGTATTTTTAACCATAATATTTAAAAATTCTTTTTACTACTTATATATCCTTACTATTATTAGGTTTTCACATGTGTTTTTTCCATGTGTATTTTAATATAATTTTCTAATTAATATAATATTTAAAAATTCTGGGGGATCAGTTTACTACTTAAAACTAACTGAAAACCGATCCCTCAATTAATATCCACCAGAATCTAAATGTTAATATTATTTTAACCATGCTTTCATATATCCTAACTATTATTAGGTTTTCACATGTGTGCATTTTAATATAATTTTCTAATTAATATAATATTTAAAAATTCTGGGGGATCAGTTTACCACTTAATACTAATTGAAAACCGATCCCCCAATTAATCTCGACTAAAATTTTAAAGTTAATACTATTTTAACAACGCTTTCAAATATAATGGCATATTTTATTCACTCCTGAGTATTATTAGGTTTTCACATGTGTGTATTTTAATATACTTTTCTAATTAATATTTAAGAATTTGGGGGGATCAGTTCACTACGTAATACTAATTGAAAACCGATCCCCCAATTAATGTCGACTAGAATTTTAAAGTTAATACTATTTTAACTATACTTTCAAATATGATGACATATATTGTTTGGTCATTGCTATTATTAGTTTTCCTTAAGTGAGTCTTTTAAATATAATTTTCTATTTATTATCTTAATATTTAAAAATTCTGGGGGATAAGTTAATACTAATAGGAAATCGATCCCTCACTTTATAAACCATGTCTTAAAAACTGATAGCATATTTTGTTATATATTTAATACTAGCAGCATGGCCCGGCGTTGCCCGTGTTTGATTCAAAAATAGTACGACTCATACAACAATCGCTATCACTTGACTTAAAATATTTTTGCCCTTCCTTGCCTTTAAAGGAGTGCCCTTTGCCGTGCTGATGTTGCTACATGCCTTACTTATTGCCTATCTCACACTGCGAATTTTTTCTAAGCTCTATACTAAAGATTAAATCTGTTACGAAAAGAGAACTAAACAAAATGAACACAAAACGATCAGCTTTAAAAAAGGACTCGTAACTGGAAAAACCGAATGAAAAAAGAATGTTAACAACAAATACTTTTTCACACCCAACCCAGTTCTGCGGAATCAGAATCAACGTTGAGTTTAAGCAAGCGAATGAGCCAATTAGAGTAAAGTGCCATGCAGATTTAAATTTTTCCCACTTGTGACGAATGCAGCTATCGATTTTTTTTGCATGCTAGCATGCTAGTTAACATTCGTGTCAGTCTGCTGTTGGCTCTCACGCTGGCCAATAGAATCTTTCTGCCTATTCGTGGCAGCCAGCTATAGACTCTCACTCTGGCCAGTAGAAAATGGCCGCAAACTGCATGAAAACTGCCGTAGAAGCATGAAAAAATCTATTATTTCCACTATCGATGGGAGTTGGGAAATGCAAAGTCAGTCTTGGCGTTCCCGCTAACTTGGAGCATGTGCATGTAAATTTTGGTACAAATCCGTCGAGAATTGCGGCCGTGCATTCGTTACACACACACACACACACACACACACACACACACCACACACCTTTTATAGATAGAGATATTACATTAAATATATATAGCAATTCTGTGATGTGATTATGGGTTCAGTTCCAGTTTGAAAAATATCTAACCTTAACCGTTCCTTAAATTATACGTTCTGCAAGAAATTTGAGATTTCCATAACGAGAACCGTCTATTCTTAGTGTGTTCCGCAAAGTGTAGTGCAGTGTCCATACAGCTATGCATCTAGGATAATTTTGGCAGCGTCACTACATCTTGTCTTCTTCATCACTTCTGTTAATCTCCTGACTACCGACCTGCTAACTAGTTTGCCAACGTGTGTTTATTCAACGGTGGGCTCAACATTCATTGTGTTCAGGTGTGGGTCGCTTTTCAACGCATGAAGGATAGGTGCCAGCAAGCCACATGAGGTTGAACAATAACAGTGTGGTTGGTTTTGCACAAAACCTTCACCACTATAATCAAATCATATGAGCAGGTGTCTGGCTGTCGGTTCCTAGGAACTCAGTTGCTTGACCCTCATACGTTGATAATTACACACACACACACACACACACACACACACACACACACACACACACACACACACACACATCTATCTATATATATATTCTCCACTCTCCTGTCGAATTCGATGTATGAAGGTCAAGCAGATCAGTTCCTAAGAAACTGACAGCCAGACACCTACACCTATGATTTGATCATAGTTGTGAAGGTTTTACTATAATTTACCGTGGTTAAGGGCAATTAGCAGATATGCGCAAAAAACGGAATTGTCAAATTTAGGCAGCTTATCTTCATTCAAATAGTTTTCATTAAATAATATAGACATATTATGTCTATTTTTGGAATAATCCCTTCTAGTTCTCTAATCAGTTTCTTGAGGTTAAGATGAAATTCATCAAGGCAGGCACCATTTTTTCCCTACCCAAGTACTTTCGATCCCCTCCAAGATCATCGTCAGGGTTGAATTACAAAAACAAATTTATTCTAACTGTGATCGCTGTGATGGTGATTTTTTAAAAAGACTCATGAACGCGCTCTGTTATAATTATTTAAAATTCTTTAATTTATCTGTTGTAGCTATGGAATTTTTTGCAAAACAAATATGAAGGAGTTAAAGATATATATATATATATTATTAATGGAAATCTTATAAGTATAAGAAACTATACTCGCTCGGAAAACCTTCGGTGTCTTGATTTGCAAATAGACAAGCCAATACCAAAGGGAAAAAAGGTATAAAAAGAAAGAACCAAGAACATGTACGTTAGCCGAAAATTAATATATATATATATATATATATATATATATATATATATATATATATATATATGTTGTATGGGTATTAGTTTGTAACTCTGAGTTTTCTACAACTGGTTTATTTTTTTTGAAAGGGGATCTATTTATGCTTATTTGTGTTTGATTATGTTTGGTAGGGGAGGGTGGAATTTTCTTCTGTGCTTGTGATGAAACTCTCATATACATAGGCATATATACATACAGGGGTATGTATTTTAATTCGTACAATCACACCCATATAAATAATCTGAGATTAGGCGCCGATACACATCAATGTGTTCGAGTATATATATATATATATATATATATATATATATTATAAATTAATTGATTTAAAATATGTTTTTTTCGCTACACAGTTCCAACCATGTTTCAAAAATAGAAGCTTAAAACCCCGAATTTAATTTTGCAATTAAATTAAAAGCATTAGTTCCATTTCATCTTCAAGCGAATTTTGGAGTAACTTTTAAAAATTACCGGGTTTTAAAGACGCAGCTAAAATCACATTTCCATGGTTACAGAATATTCTACTTAAATTGAACAAGGGATGTCTAGATTTCCTTATGTCAGTATCATTGTATCAGTTATTAGCTACAATTTGGAAGGGGTAGGGATGTATTTTACAATGAAACCTGACATCAGTTGAATGGATGTCGTCTGAATGTTTTTTTAAAAAAATGTTAACGGTAAAAAAATTTCAACGTCACTTTTTAAATTTAAAGATTTTCGGTTTTTTTTTTTTTTATTTTATTTTTTATTTTTTTTAATACTTTTTATTTAACTACGATTTGAAATATTCTCCTTTTTTAATTTTTATTTTACTATATTCTTTTTAAGAACAGTTAAATGTATTAGAATCCTTTTTGTTCTTTTCTTTTTATTTATATATATATATATATATATATATATATATACACGCAATTGTCATTCTATTTTGGTGTCGAGACTTTAGCGTTACATATGTGGAAATGTTCTCTTAACAAGGAACAGTTGGTGGTGGTATTGACGTTTTTAAAATTTTTGTTCACACACACACACACACACACATATATATATATATATATATATATATATATATATATATATATATATATGTGTGTGTAAATAATAAGAAAGTGCAGTAATATTTACAATCTGGTGTTCTTAATGTTGATTTTTATTTTATTTCCAAAAACGAGTGCTCGTTACATGAACCATAGAGCATAGTATTATAATTATTTACTATTTTAAAAATATACTTCCATCCCTAAACAGGAATTACCATGTTTCAAAATAGAAAGTAAAAATTTAAAATTTAATTAGAAAATTAAATTTAAAAAATCCACAGTTCCATTCCATTATCAAGCGATTTTTGGAATAACCTAATTAAGAAGTTTACTGCACTTATAATCCCATACAGTTTTTAATATTTTAAATTGCTAAGGTCACGGCTTTTAATATTTTAAACTGATAAAATTCTCTGTGATTATAAGTGAAGTAAATTAGGCTATTCCAAATGGTCATGGAATGGAACTGTGGAATTTAAATTTAATTTTCTAATTAAGTTTAACATTTTTAGTTTCTATTTTGAAACATGGTAATTCCTGTGTAGCGACGATAAGGGCCATATTTTTAAATAGTAAATAACTATTATATATATATATATATATATATATATATATATATATATATATTACACAATATATGCAAGACAAAAGTAGACAAACAACAACAATAAGACAATAAGTTAACAAAAATAAGAATAATACACCAAAGGCATACTGACAAGGGATTGTAGCGTTCTGACTTCAAGACAAGAAAAAACAAGGATATGGTGAATGAAACCGAGAAGGGGTCTATCTTATTGTCTAGAAAGCAATCCCAGCATGCATCTGTACGACTTGTATATAAATTTGGAAAGAGGGACGTTTATGCAGCCGTTTGGAACATAATAATAATAATAAGATGAAGAAGAATAAGAAGAGGAAGAAAAGAATAATAATAATAAGAAGAAGGGGGAGGAGGAGGCTAAAAATGAAATAATTAAAAAAGTTCCCAAAGTAAGAATAAAGCAAAAAACAAAAACAAAACAAAAACAAACAAAAAGTTTCCAAAAAAAGAAGACGTAAAAAGAAAAAAAAAAATGAGTCAAAAATTTCCCATGGTTAGAATAAGGCAAAAGAAATATAATAAGCCAAAATGTTCCAAAGTAAAAATGGTCTTAACATAAAAGGGATGCAAACAATTAATTGTAGCGTTCTGACTTCAAGACAAGAAAGAAGAATATGGTGAATGAGACCGAGAAGTGGTCTATTTTATTTAGCGAGGAAGAAATCCCATCATGCATCTGTACGACTTGTATATACATTTTGGGGGAGGTGGTCTTTTTCCTGAGAATTGGAACCAACATGTACCAATAACCAAATTCTTATTTTGTTAGGTTGTCACCCCAGACGGGCGTTCCTTCCGAGGACTACGAAACCTCACAAAAGAACCAGAGGGTATTTGTTAAACGTCCCAACCACCTGAATTCCAATCAAAATGATGTCGTCCTGGCAAAAAGAAACAAAGCAGCTACCCGTATACAGGTGAGAGAGAGAGAAATTAGAAAAAATCTGGTACAGGTAATAGTAATGATAACATGAAGCAGACATAGTGACAGACAGAAGCCGAGTTATATGGCACCAGTGGTTAGCAAGACTTGCCTTATTCTCGACGAAAGAGACTTCTGTCGGGGTGCATTGTACGATGCGTGCAGTTGAGATAGGAGATTTACTTGACACCCCCACCCCACTGAGTAAGGTTATGACACAAGGTCAGTTAGTAACGTGGGGACCAGAGTGTCTTCACTCGGACCGCTGGTCTTAGCTGGTCATAGCTTGTCCAATCTTGGTCAGAGCTGGTCTAAGATAGTCATAGCTGGTCTTAGCTTGTCCAATCTGGTCATAGCCGGTTCAAGCTAGTCATAGCCGTGATACGAGCAGCACAGAGACGGAATCCTGTGCTCCGTAAGTATCAGAGTGTATAAACCACACAAAAGAGCTGTTGATTTACTTGACCCCCGACTGAGTCAAGTTGTAACACAAGGTCAGTATTTAACGTGGGGACCCGAAGGTCTTCACCCGGGCCGCTAGTCTTATCTGGTCATAGCTTGTCCAATTAGGTCAGAGCCGGTCTAATCTAGTCATAGCTGTGATACTACCAGCAAAGGAACGGATCCCCGTCACCGGTAAGTATCAGAATGTATATACCACTCGAGAGAGCGGTTTACACACTCACGTGCAGTTGTTATAGAATGAACGAATGAAGGAACGATGAAGCGGTTACAAGGCAGAGAACAATGATAAATACGAAGAAACCGGTGTAGAGTGAAGAAATACCCAATCTAAAATTACATCCCAAAACAGACGTCCTGGGTATGACGATAAAGTACGTCTGCGTCCTGAGTAAGACGATAAACTACATCCGCGTCCTGGGTATGATGATAAACTACATCCAACAGCAAGGCCTCTGATCAAGAGGTTTTGAGGAGCGTGAAACTATCTCTTAATTGCTGGTGTTCCCAGGTCCACCCTGACCCGGGGTGGTACCACCTGTTAGGGTTCCAATTAGTTAACCCCCAAATTGGGGTCAAAACACTATGAAAGTGTGAAAATAGGTCTTAATACCAGAAATACTTTGTCAAAGAAAAAAAAAAAATTTTACCATCAATACATTATTATCAGCAATGCATTTTAGGCAAAAAAAAAAAAAAAAATTTACCAGCAATCATTTTTTGAAAAAAATATTATCGGAAATAGATTTTTTGAAGGAAAAATATTACTAGCAATACATTTTTGAAAAAAAATATTATCAGCAATAAAAATTTTGTCGGCATTAAATAACCCATTGAGGTGTTGATATGCCGTAAAACAAACCAAAAGTAACGTCCCAAAATAGAGTTGCTAATTTCTTTTGACCACAAGCTATTTCGGCTAAATGGAATAATTTATTATATGTCTCTAATTTGTATTTACATACATTTTATTTATATTCAATTTTTCCAATTGAATTGTTCACCTATATTGCATATGATCCACTATTGTACATAATTAGGTTACAATAAAATCTGTATTTTATATGAATACTACCTTAGGAAAATTAAAGTGTACAATAGTTGAGGGGGACTGTATCATAGATGGGTGGGGTGGCAAGAGACCTTTGCATGGGCCTTGATTGCAGAAGTCATCTTGATTATACAAAAATGAAAGAGAGAGAGAGAGAAAAAAAAACGAAAGAAAATGTCTCTAATAACCTGTACTGTTGCTTTAGGTGTCCATGCAGGAGCAACAAAGACTTTTTCTTTTACGATCATATTTGTACCAATGAAATTGGTGTAGGACTTCGATTTAAGAGGAGGCGAGTACTTTGTCCCATCAAAAGAGACCCTCCTTCTTTGTTGTCCCACAAGAAATCAGTTTATTAGCAGCTGTATATAATATTAATGTGGATGGACGGAACTGAGGTGAGACATTCGGATGTGTTAGTGTTTCATTCTGAGGTACCCGTATGTCTAGTATGTCTATCATCCAGGCGAGTGATTGGTGATACCTCATTATAAGTAGACCAACATGGAGATGAGAGAGGTCTTCTGTCAGGGTACATTGTACTGTACATACAGTTGTGACAGGATGAACGAACAACAAAGTAGATACTGTGGTAATGACTGCAAAACATTTCCTTTATTGCTTGAAGTTTGATATGACTCAGTCCAGATTTGCCTTGTCTAGAAGACGGACTTACTATTCAGACAAGAGTCAACAGTTGCATCATGTGACAGACATAGTGAGCCAGAACCAGAGTCAAATGGCAGAAATGGTGAAGAGGACTTTCGTTATTCTCGATGAAAGAGAGTTTGTCTTTGTTTGGCATGTAGAACTTTGATTTAAGAGGAGGCGAGTACTTTGTCCCATCAAAAGAGATCCTTCTTCTTTGTTGTCCCACAAGAAATCAGTTCATTAGCAGCTGTATATAATATTAATGTGGATGGACGGAACTGAGGTGAGACATCCGGATGTGTTAGTACCTCCATTCTGAGGTACCCATATGTCTATCATCTGGTGGTAGTGATTGGTGATACCTCATTAAGTAGACCAACGTGGAGATGAGAGAGGTCTTCTATCAGGGTACATCATGCTATGTGTACAGTTGTGATCGGATACATGAAAGAGAATTGCGATAAATACAAAGAAACCGGTGTAGAGGGAAGAAATACCCAATCTGAAATTACGTCCCACAACAGAGTTGTTATTAGGTTGGTGCAAAAATAATGACGTAATAATGTCATTTTTTGACGTTAAAAAATACGTCAAAAAACGACATTATTACGACATTATTTTTGCACCAACCTAATAATTTCTTATGACCACATAACATTATCAGTTTCCTTATAAGGGAACATTCGGCACTTATTGACTGATCAGTCAGTGCTACTCGAGTGATTTTCTTTACGTTCTAGCCATCGGGCTAGGATCAAAGTGTAGTAACTGTTTTCGAGTGGATAAGCTACATTTTATCTCTGAATTGTGTTTCAGTCTTCGGAGAGCATATAACAAATAAATGATGGATGCCTGGTCCTGGGGATTTCAGCTTTGAAGCATTACCTCCCTCAATTTATCAGAAGAAGGGTTGGTGGAATATCAACGTCAGCACAACGTTGATTGCGGGAACTGTGCAATGTTTGGATGTGGCCCATGTGCACATGCTTGCACTCACCATTTTAAACCAGCTTTGTGCCCTATCCCATCACCGAGGGGGCGAGTAAATACCAAGTGTAGTATCTGATATTCTCATCTCTAATGGTAATGGTAATATTAGCTTTTTCCTTATAAGGAAACACTCGATATTCATTGAACGAGTAGTCAGTGCTACGAGGTGTACGCTTTTCTTCACTCCCTGGTCATAGATTTTGGATAAAAGTATGTTTCCCCTCATCTCTAATGGTAATGATAATATTAGTCGTTTCCTTAAGAAGAAACATTCAGCATTTATTGACTGAGTAGCCAGTACAATTTGAGTTACTCTTTTCTTCACTCCCTGGCTATTGGGCTGGAATAAAAGTGTAGTATCTGTTCTCATCTCTAATGGTAATAGTTTTATTAGCCGTTTCCTTATAAGGAAACATATAGCATTCATTGACCGAACAATCAGTGTTAATCAAGCTACAATTTTCTTCACTTCCTGGCCAACAAGTTGGGATCAAATTGTAGTATCTGTTCTCATCTCTAATGGTAATAGTTTTATTAGCCGTTTCCTTATAAGGAAACATATAGCATTCATTGACCGAACAATCAGTGTTAATCAAGCTACAATTTTCTTCACTTCCTGGCCAACAAGTTGGGATCAAATTGTAGTATCTGTTCTCATCTCTAATGGCAATAGTTTTATTAGCCGTTTCCTTATAAGGAAACATATAGCATTCATTGACCGAACAATCAGTGTTAATCAAGCTACAATTTTCTTCACTTCCTGGCCAACAAGTTGGGATCAAATTGTAGTATCTGTTCTCATCTCTAATGGTAATAGTTTTATTAGCCGTTTCCTTATAAGGAAACATATAGCATTCATTGACCGAACAATCAGTGTTAATCAAGCTACAATTTTCTTCACTTCCTGGCAAACAAGTTGGGATCAAATTGTAGTATCTGTTCTCATCTCTAATGGTAATAGTTTTATTAGCCGTTTCCTTATAAGGAAACATATAGCATTCATTGACCGAACAATCAGTGTTAATCAAGCTACAATTTTCTTCACTTCCTGGCCAACAAGTTGGGATCAAATTGTAGTATCTGTTCTCATCTCTAATGGTAATAGTTTTATTAGCCGTTTCCTTATAAGGAAACATATAGCATTCATTGACCGAACAATCAGTGTTAATCAAGCTACAAATTTCTTCACTTTCTGGCCAACAAGTTGGGATCAAATTGTAGTATCTGTTCTCATCTCTAATGGTAATAGTTTTATTAGCCGTTTCCTTATAAGGAAACATATAGCATTCATTGACCGAACAATCAGTGTTAATCAAGCTACAATTTTCTTCACTTCCTGGCCAACAAGTTGGGATCAAATTGTAGTATCTGTTCTCATCTCTAATGGTAATATTAATATTAGCCGTTTCCTTTTTGTGGAAACATTCTGTATTCATTGACCGAGCAGTTACTCCTACTTGAGTGACGCCTTTTCTTCACTCTTTGGATATTGGGCTGTGATCAATGTGTATTACCTGTTTCTCTCATATCTAATGGTAACATTAACCGTTTCTTTATGTGGAAACTTTTGGCGTTCATTAACAGAGCAGTCTGTGTCACAGTCGGTTAAAATTTATAAAATCTTTCCAGAAAAAAAAAGTTTTACAAGACCAGTAAATGTTATTGCTCTTTCAATTACTGATATGGTCATTCTTCATAATCTTTTGTTCTTTTTTTTGTTTGATAATAGCGTGGCACATCAACATCTTGATGATGTCATTATTCTCTCTTCTCAAGCCCAGTAGCTGTTATCCCTCTTTCCATTATTGATGTGAGTTTCCTTCCTAACCTTTTCTTTGAAGTAGTGTGGAACATCAACATCTTGATGATGTCATTATTTTCTCTTCTCAAGCCCAGTAGCTGTTATCACTCTTTCCATTATTGATGTGAGTTTCCTTCCTAACCTTTTCTTTGAAGTAGTATGGAACATCAACATCTTGATGATGTCATTATTTTCTCTTCTCGAGCCCAGTAGCTGTTATCACTCTTTCCAGTATTGATGGGAGTTTCCTTCCTAAACTTTTATTTGAAGTTGTGTGGAATGTCAACATCTTGATTATATCATTATTTTCTCTTCAAGTTACCTGTGCTATTCATTTTAACTGTTCCTGCTATTTTACTTGATGTCACGTTATAAATTATATAAAATTATAATTGACTTGACATCAACAATTAACGTAAAAAGATGGAATATATATTAATACATATAATAGATTTATCATACGCTGGCGAATAGATGTGCATGTGTGAAACTCAGAGTGAAAAGATAAGTCACAAAACTATATATATAGACCCATGTACAAATTGAAACAAAACGAATAATCCCGTTATTATTTACCTTTTGTTCGTAGTTTTCCAATTAAACATGACCCAGTACACATGTTAGTACTTCGTATGTGCATTCCACGAAGCCTTTCCTTGCAGACTGACCACAGATTCTCGATTGGATTTAAGCCAGGAAAGTTTCCGGGCCAGTCTATAGTACTTTGGTTTGCTCACTGGTAAGGCTTGCCAGTGTGTTCGCGCAACGTTACAATTTCCGTACGCTTCCTTGGCAGACAATTTCTGTACGCTTCCATAGCAGACAATTTCCGTACGCTTCCATAGCAGACAATGGCCGTAGGACAACTAATCGACAGTCAAGACAATATTGTCTGGGCGTGATAAAAACCTGATACAATCAAGGATGACACAATATTTTTCAAGGCCAAACAAATTTCATCATACACCCCGAAAATAGATTCATATTACTACACACCACTGGAAATGACCTAAACTGAGGAAAAAATAGAAATCGATTGCACCCTGTCACTCCAGTGGGTCTAAAACTGACTGAATGACGAAAGAAAGAAAACTAAAGATGTTGTTTCAATTGATTTGCACAAGGATATATATATATATATATATATATATATATATATATATATATATATATATATATATAAAGAAATATAGTCTCAAAGAGGTGTGCTATATTTATGGGATAAAGTGCTCAATATCAGAGGCAGAGCGTGTGTAAATATAAAAGTGAACATTGAAGTCAACACTAAGTGCGACAGTCTGTTTCATGCTAGATGCAATCGTCAGACAATACGGCCTGACGATTTTGTCTAGCATGAAACAGCCTGTTGCCTCTAAGTGTTGACTTCAATGTTCACTTTATATATTTATATATATATATATTTATATATATATATATATGTGTGTGTGTGTGTGTGTGTGTGTGCATGTATGTACGTGTGCAAAAATTATGCATTTCACCCCTAGCAAAGTGGGAGAGACACTAGCACACAGTGGGTCACAGAGAGTAAAAGTGAGGGAAAAGACTGGGTATAGCGTGGATTGAGGAAAGGATAAAAGAATGGGGGATCATGGTAACAGAAGTTGGTGATTGACGTTGCATTTAAATTTTTGAAAAATGTAGTTATCAGGGAAGCAAGTAAGAGGAAGGGAGTTCCACTGCCGGGAAGCGCGAGATAAGGAACTACTGGAGTAGAAGTGGCGATTGCATTTAACTATTTGAACAGTACAAGGGTGGGACACAAATGCCAATCTAGTGTCACTCTTAAATTCATGTAGTTATGCATACACAGACACATATATGATAAATATATTGTTTTAAGGTATGTTATGTTTATGAATAAAAGTGCTGAAGATGGCGTTCAACAAACTGTCAGTTTTGACTTCTGTATCCACACACACACACACACACACATATATATATATATAAATATAAACGTGAACATAAAAGTCAACATTTAGAGGCTTCTAAGTGTTGACTTCTATATTCACTTTTATATTTACACACGCTTTATCTCTGATATTGAGCACTTTATCCCATAAATATAGCACATTTTAAGACTATATTTCTTCATATATATATATATATATATATATATATATATATATATATATATATATAAAAAAGTTTATTGTTGTAGCCTGTATAGGGGCCAGAAAGAAAGACACGGAAGACGAAGGTAGGTTGAACAAGTGTATTGAAATAACAGATATATACAAAACAAGAGTGTTAGTAATAAGCAGATAAAGGTGTACGTTCGAACGGTAGGTTAACACTACGTCTACTCTATATTTAACAGCCCCCCACGAGGGTTGTAAGTGGCACAAAGCATAGCTTCGTCCGGGTTCCTCTCTGCCAAAGACAGAAAAATAGTCTACGCTATGTTTAAAAGCCCACCGACCCCGAGGGTTGTATGTGGCACAAGGCCGAGTTTACCGTGTGTTTTCCGAGCCCGTAGGCTCGGCCAAAAATATCTCCTTAGAACCTGTATAAACGGGTCCAGGGTCTGCCTACCTCCCCGGACGAAACTCTGCCCTTCGGCATAGCTTCGTCCGGGTTCCTCTCTGCCAAAGCAGAGAGTTCGACAGAAGTCGTACATAGTCAGAAACTGTGTCTACGCTCCCCAACCGACTCTCGCAGTCAGTATTTATGAGAGGAGGAAGAGTTCATTCTACTGTAGGAGGGTTTACCACAACATTAACAAATCCGTTGGTATATAATCCAAGTGGATCCTAGTAATGTAAAATATTAAAACTGATCCACAAAAAAAAATTATATTTAGCAAAATGAACAGTTCTATAATTTTGAAATTTTTTTTATCAGGCTGCATGGCGCGGATTCAGTCTTCGAGTTAAGTTACAAGCCGCTCTGCAATTCGCACAGAATGTCTACGAAGAAGAAAGTGAATTTGGGGAAGAAATTGACTTAGAATCATTTGATATGGCTGAGGTAAGTATCCAGATTCTTTTTGATAAATCATTCATATACAAAAGTGTGATAATTGCAATATTCCAAGATTTAAAGCGGAAAAAAAAACATTGAGTCTATCAGAAACATATAATAATCATATCAAGGAAAATAGCATCCTTTTTGAAGCCTGTCATTGGTGGAATGCACAGACTGCATCCCTGTGCATTAGAGTCAATATCACTCTTCAAATTTTCAAGGTTAGTGCTTCCAAACTCAAATGAATCACAGATATTTACCTATCCCCGAACTAAGTTTATGTTCATAGACTCAAATAAAAACGGCCAGTGTTTACTTATCCCGGAACTAATTTCACGTTTATAGACTCAAATAAAAATGGCCAGTGTTTACCTATCCCCGAACCAAGTTTATGTTTATAGCCACAAATAAAAATGACCAGTGTTTACCTATCCCCCGAACCAAGTTTATGTTTACAGAATCAAATAAAAACGACCAGCGTTTACCTATCCCCAAATCAAGTTTACAGACTCAAATAAAAATGACCAGTATTTACATATTCAAGAACCAAGTTTACGCCTATAGACTCAAATAAAAACGACCAGTGTTTACCTATAACCGAACCAAGTTTACGTTTATAAACTAAAAAACGACCAGAATATGCCTATCTCCGAACTAATTTTACGTTTATAGACTCAAATAAAAACGACCAGAGTTTACCTATTCAAGAATCAAGTCCATGCTTACACATTCAAACATAAATGGCCAGTATATAACTATCTCTGAACTAAATAAATGCTTATCGGCTCAAATATTAATGGTCAGTATTTATTATTCATGAACAAAGTACATTATATAGTTGTGGAAAGTTTGATTACACGTATCATGGGACCCCCAAATTTTTACTTATAAAAATGATTTTATCATGTATCTCGTGTATCATACGTGTTCCTTTTTTGAGAGACCAAATTAACTCTATCGCTTTTGTACCAAAGCTTTATTACACTTTACTCTGACTACTCGTCTACTGACGGATTTATAGGGTACTTTTTATACTTCCTAGATCTTAAAGGGAGGTAACTGATGATTTATCAGTACATCTTTATAACATCTTCTAGTTAAATAAGTTAAAAAAAGTAAAAGAAAACGATAAAAGAATCGTTAGTAACGCTATACTCGTTGCGTAAACGCGTACAGCCATAAACAATTGAACGAGAAATAGCTAAACACCTTATAAACGTAAACAATGGAAAAGATGTATATTCACTATGTTTGTATTTTATGATACGATACTAATTTGTGAATATTACATGCATTATTATTGGATACAGTTAAGTAAAGCATAAGTTTTATTAAAATCATTTTTATTTTAAATACAGCTCTACTTTCTGACTACAGTAAATGGATTGTGGCCAATTCATATGTACTGGATATACAGTTTGGTTAACAATAGTCAATATAGTTTGGTCAGTAGTTTGGTTATTATATAGTTTGGTCTATGTAATGGATATATAGTTTAGTCAATTCATATGTACTGGATATACAGTTTGGTTAATAATAGTCAATATAGTTTGGTCAATATATATAGTTATGTCATTGTAATGGATATATAGTTTAGTGAATCCATATGTACTGCTGACCCGGGTCAGCAGTACATACGCTAATTTTACCGAGATCTGTAGACGTATTGGGATGGTCAAGGAAACATTTCAAAAGCTGAGCAGAGTATTGCGAGACAGGAGGAATTCTTTGGTAACAAAGAAAAGAATACTCAGCTGTTACGTGAATTTCCTCAAAGATGAAGAAGAGACTCAAGGCGACAGAGAGGTGGTTCTACAGAAGGATGCTCAGGATATCATGAACAAAGAGTTTGAGCAACGATGAGGTCTTAGAGAGGTTGCAAACAAGGAGGAGGCTTATACTTATCATCAGGAAGAGGTAGCTGAAGTTTCTGAGACACATAATGAGGAAGGAGGGCCAGGAGAATAAACAGTATTAACAACATTTACCGGCCTGAATGTCCGAGAAATTGTCATAGAAAATAATCGTCCTTTAGACATTCAGGCCGGTAAATGTTGTTTAATACTGTTTATTATAAACAGTACATTTACTTAAATATTTGTATCTATAAAAAGAATGTATAAACATAAAAATTTCTCAAAATAATTGTCGGACTTTCATTTTAATAGGAGTAGGTAGGCTTTCCTACCGCCCGGTCCACACTCCCCCCCCTTCTCTTGGACATGAGAAGAGGCTTACGCCTTATTTCTTGTTTAGGAAGGGGTTTCCGGTACTCTTTCTCTCTCTCACTGGCCTCTGTATCTCCAGTTGCCTTGATCTATCCACTACTCTTCTCCTCATCCTTTCTTCTATCACTCCTATCTGACCTTGCTCTAAATTTTCAGTAACCCCTTGCGTCATAGTGGCTTTCCGCTTTGCCTGGGGTGAAACGCTTAATATATATATATATATATATATATATATATATATATATATATATATATATCTTCGACTCTCCCGTCGAATTCGACGTATGATGGCCAAGCAGATCAGTTCCTAGGAACCGACATCCAAACACCAGCACATGAGATTTGATTATAGTTGATTAAGTTTGGTATGCAGAACCATCTTCACTTTTAGAAGGGTTGAATACTCAGACCTGGTGCACTACGTGCCACAAGGTCTCAAAACGACCCTCTGCAGGTTGCCATCCAAGGCTATAGAAGCCAGTTTGTCCTGCTATTTGACCCTAGCTGGAGGGATAAGAGGATTCATACCTTTCCCAAAGCCTCTATCCATTACGCCAACGTTCCTCCTATATATATATATATATATATATAAATATAAATATATATATATATATATATATATATATATATATATATATATATATAAATAAATATATATATATATATATATATATATATATATATATTAAAAAATAGAATTTTATCGTATGCTATATTTATGTGTTGAAGTGCTTAATATTAGGGGTAGAGTCTATGTAACTATAAAAATAAACACTGAGATCAACACCGATGTCTTTTTTTTTTTAATCGCGTTCACTTCAAGGTAGTAAAACCACTACGACACTAAGGGGTGGGGTTACTGGATATTGAAGTATTAGAAAACAGAAACATTACTATGCAGCGGGAACAAAAGGAGAGTAATCAGGAGTAACTGAAGATTGCTCATATACATGAAACAGACTGTCACCGCTCGGTGCTGACTTCGGTGTCCACTTATATATATATATATATAAGCAATTTATAGGTCACAACCAAAAAATGAGCCAAGCCTATTTACACACACACACCTGCTCCACTCACCCAACCAGAATAAATAAGGAATTTCACACACACACACACACACACACACACACACACACACACACACACACACACACACATATATATATATATATAGGCATGGAAATTATTTTGTTTTTGGTAAAGATGACTGACTGTACAGTTGAAAGTACTTGCGTATTAAAAAAAGACCTTATACAGCTTATAATTTTAAAAAACAAGGCTCATAACATTCATCGAGTGATTTGTAGGTTAATGCACCTTTAGAATTTTGTTTGCGAAGGGATTTCGCCATTTTATATCATTAACTTTACTAATCTACTTTCTGTATGAATGATTCATTGTAACATAAAATTATATTATTAATTGTAATATAAATTGAACTGCACACATATTTTATTTAATATATATATATATATATATATATATATATTACTGGTATATTTGGAATGCGATTTTTGTATTTACCAAAAGAATTTCAGAACAGTGCAAATTATTCATTAGAATATTTTCATCTTATTTCTCTTGGTTTTTACAGCCACTGCCCACTCGTTACTCTACGATCGTTTAAATACACGCCCTTCCAATACCTTTGCTTATAATTATTTTTTTCTCTTTTTTATTTTTTTGTAAGCATAATAGAATTTTTTTTAATCAGAAAAAAGTTAGGTTTGACAATCAAATACACAGATAACACACACACACATTATATATATATATATATATATATATATATATATATATATATATATATATATATAAACTTAAGTACGAAAGTGACTAAAGGGTTATAATAAAAATAGAAAATAAAAATACAAGCTATCAAGAAGAGAAGAAAATAGCAGTAATTTCTTCCTTGCCACTGACTCATTTGTTTATCTCAATATTTGCATTTTCCTGATCCTTCTAGAACAAATAAAACCCAGCCCGTCGATATATTGCATGATGGGAGAAAAATAATAATGCATGATGGGAGAAAAATAATAATGTATAAAAAAAAATGAAAGAAGCTAAAAAGGGGTGGTAACTCTTGTTTGTTTTTCACTGGTCACCGAAAGTCGACACTCGAATACCAAAGTTTAAAAAAACAGACAGCCAACTTGTGTGTTCGGCAAGTCGCTCATAAATTGTTTGTCGTCATAAGAGGGAGAAAAAGAATATATATATATATATATATATATATATATATATATATATATATATATACGTGTGTGTTTCTTTCCAAATTCACAATATAAGTTAAAAAACGTAATCTTAGGAGGAAACGGACGGCCATGAAGGAAAAAAAAATAGATATTTAACATCTGTAATCGGTTGGGAAATCATGTATTTAAAAATTGTTATTATCATTATTTACTTTTTTCTCTTCCACCTCTTTGTTTTATTTGTTCTTTTTCTTCTTCTTGCTTTTTGTATTTTCTTATTCTTCTTTAATTTCTCCTTCTTCTTGATTTTCAGTTCTTTTGTGTCTTTTTCTCTTTTCACAATTCTTCACCGTCCCAACTTCATAACCATCTCCCATTTCTTCTTTGTTTTCAATTCTTTCGTTTTTGGGTGTTTTTTCTTCTTGTTTTTTCATTCTTTCTCTATTGGACACTTCTTGTTCATGTTTATTTTATTTAAACTCTCCTCCTCGATCTTTTTCTTCTTTCTGATTTCCTACAATTCCTTCCTCTTTCTTCTTCTTCTTCTTCTTTCCCAGGGACCTTTCCCTTTTCTTCCTCTCGATTCTTCTTCTTCTTTTGTTTTCATTCTTCGTACTTCGGGTCTTTCTTCTTCTTCTACACTTATTAGCTCTTCATTTTTCATGATTTTACTTTTAGTCCTCCATGTCTTTTCATTTTTTTTTTAAATTATCGTCTTTCCTTCAGTTTATTTCCCACCTTCGTTGTCATTTGATTTCTTTTGTTTCTGGGCTGCTACTGCCTTCTTCCTTTTTCAAGGTGTTTTCATTTTTCTTTGCTTCTCTTTTCTTTCTTTACTTCTTTTCTTCATCCTTCTTCCAACTCGTTTCATCTGTTTCACTTCTTTCTATCTTGGATTTGTTCTTCTCTTCTTTTTCGTGAAAGAGTCACATGGTTAGACACATAAAACCTATTATTATTATTTGTGTATTATTATTATTTCCTTTGGGTTGTAGAGTACCTACGGACGATAATGGGTATATCCCCATTCCCATAAATACAGTAGTAAATACTGTATGTTGGTCTGCAGTTGGAGATTTGTCTCCAACTTGCCTCCGGGAAGAGAGGATCCCCAGACAAGACTATGTCGAAGGGCAGAGTCTTGTCTCGGGAAACAGCTACCCGACCCGCTTTTCTACGGTGTTTACGGCGAATTTTGGCCGAGACTAAGGGCTCGTATACCTCACATTAAATTCGACCTTGTGCCACATGTGACTGCGTGGGACGGTTGGTAGATACCCTGCTGTCGGAGGTTCGTCTCCAATTCTGCTGGTCAAACTCTCTGCCTCCGGGCAGAGAGGGTCCCTAGACGAGGCTATGTCGAAGGGTAGAGTCTAGTCTCGGGAAACAGTTACCCGACCCCGTTTTATACGGGGTCTACGGGGAATTTCTGGCCGAGCCTAGAGGCTCGGATACTGCACATTAAATTTGGCCTTGTGCCACATCTGACCGTGTGGGGTGGTTGGTAGATATCCTGCAGTTGGAGATTCATTGTGGAATTCACTTGACTCACTTCTAGCGATTGACTACTTCTTCTACGCGCCGCTGGCGAATCTTATATGCGTTGTTCTTGTCCTAAGTATTATCGTTAATTACCAACTTTCGTGTGATTATTCTATTCAGTAACCTTCCCTAGCTTTCAACACTTTGATTTCTGATTTTTCAGAAATGGATTTATGATATTTTCCACTGATTATTTTTGCAAAAGAAAAACCCTAAAATCACACACATTTTGCATAGATAAAGCTCTTCTTAATGTCTGAGCTGTACTTGTGAGTATATTTTTTTGTATTTCTTTAAGGAATTCCTTCAATGAGTCTATCGGAACTTTTTCTAATCAATCCGAGGACTCCAACTACAGATGGAATTATTGATATTCTTATGTGCCATATGTTTGCGATTTCCACTTCAAAATCCTTTTATTTTGATAGATCTTTTTTGAAGACCTTCAAAGATTCACTACAGCCTGCAATAAGAAAGCACATTCTGTTTTTGTCGTCTTTGATCGTAATGTTTTTGGCCGATTATCTTTGATTGTTCTCTCTATATGCATTGTAAAATGCAAACAGAGAGAGAGCAATCAAAGATGATAAATAAATATTAAATTGCCACAGGTCATATTTCTGTAACCAGGTCTGGGTGGTGTTCATACCAGTTTCTTGCAATTTCCTTCCCGTAAATGTTGCATATTGTCCAATGCAGATATTGACCCACTCTATCATGCCGAGTTTTATATCCAGAGGGTGATAAGACTGTGTAACCTGATACAAGATGATCAACTCTTTCTGCATATTTATCACAGAATCTGTATTTTGGGTTAATACAATTTTTTAGTATGTGAGCTTGGTAATTTCTAGTCACCAAGAAATTGTCCTATGCAGCAAGAATCAAACCTTCGCTTTCAGCTTTTAACCCTGCACTACGTAGCGACTGATAGGTACGGGGTTTGTCTATATGAGTTTGGTACGGGAACTGTATTGACCATGAATGAAGTTTCTTATTTCTTTCATGTTCTTTGACACATATCATGATCCAGGCTTCTGTAATTTGTAGATATCTTTGAAGGCTGATAGTGGTGGTTTTATAAAATAGTCCTAGTTGAAATAATCCTCTGCCTCCTTCGGATCTGGACACATACAGACAATCAACATCAGCCTTAGGATGATGCAGGTGGTAGCAAGTGAAGAGCTATCTCGTTTTGATATTCATTCGCTTAATGTCAACTATGGTCCAGTTAATGATGTTGACACTATAAAGAGGTTTATCTTGCCATTATTTTTGCATTTGGTACATTGCATTTGTTTTTTCTTTCTTTTTTTTAAGTATTTTCAAGCTACAGTAGGTGCATTATTGTTTACTTGCCCTTCTTCACCGACATGAAATTCCATTTTGAAGTTGTTGGCATCTTTTAGTACCGGATACTCTTATTTCTTTCATGTTCTTTGAAACAGATCATCATCCAGTTTTCTGTTGTTTCCAGTAAATTTGAAGAGCGAGCGTGGTTTTCTAAGACAGTCCTAGTTGAACTAATCCTCTACCTCCTTCGGATCTGAACCCATAAAAAACGATCAGCTTTAGCAGTGGAAAGTCAGAAGCTTTCTCGATTTGACATCCAGAGGGTGATAACACTGTGTAACCTGATACAAGATGATCAACTCTTTCTGGATATTTATCACAGAATCTGTATTTTGGGTTAATACAATTTTTTAGTATGTGAGCTTGGTAATTTCTAGTCACCAAGAAATTGTCCTATGCAGCAAGAATCAAACCTTCGCTTTCAGCTTTTAACCCTGCACTACGTAGCGACTGATAGGTACGGGATTTGTCTACATCAGTTTGTCTGCTACGGGCAGAGTACTGACCATAAAGAAACTTATCTTCGCATCGTTTCTGAATTTGGTACATTGCATTTGCTTTTGCTTTCTTATTTAGGTTCTTTGCCACTTCAGTAGGTGTATTATTGTTTATTTTCACTTCTTCGCTCACTTGAAATTCCCTTTTGAATTTTTAGGCTTCCTTTATTACTGAATGAAGTTTCTTATTTCTTTCATGTTCTTTGACACATATCATCATCCAGGCTTCTGTAATTTTCAGGTATCTTTGAAAACTGATTGTTGCGGTTTTGTAAGAAAAGTCTAGTTGAACTAATCCTCTGCCTCCTTCGGATCTGGACACATGCAGATGATCAATATCCGCCTTTGGATGATGTTGATCGTCTGTATGTGTCCAGATGTATTCTTCTTCTTCTTCTTCTTCTTCTTCTTCTTCTTCTTCTTCTTCGTATTATTATTATTATTATTATTATTATTATGTTGGTGTTGCACATTTATGCAGTCAATGGAAATTCTTTTCTTGAGGTGTGGTGTCAACATGACTCTTCGCAATTCAAGAACTTTTCGGAGAATCTTCACAGATTAAATAGTGGTAATTTTTTTGATATCTTGTCTCAATTCCAATTCATCCTAAATGATTTTTCAGTTTTCTATGTGGTGCACCTGCTACTACATTCATCTTCCATAACTTTTACAGCTCCTGAGCCAGATCCTGGTATTTTTTTTATATCTTTTCAATTTCTTTGGAGTCAGCAAAGTCAATAATTTGACACTTGCTACTCTCCTCATCTTGAATAATAAGGTTGGGACACAATGACATGATTTGTCTCGACTGAGACATACCATAATATCTTGTGATTATAATGTTCTACTACTTCCTCTGACTGATGTTCCTAACAGTTTTCTTTTACAGAAAGCCAAGCTTACAGCATACCGTAATTCCCCATGTATAATACGCCTTCATCCATAATACGCATACCTAAAATTGTACTGAAAATGTGTGAAAATGATTCTACTCACGCATAATACGCACCCCTTGTTTGGTAATCAAACCCTATAAATTGTACCTCTCCAATTTCATTACGATCAGCGTTTCCTACTCTTATTTAAAAAAATGGTTTTAAACTGTAGTAGCCTTAAAGAGGTTACAAACAGACAAAGGTTGTACTCGAGTGAAGGATTAGCAACATGCGCGTAGATGAAAGAAAGAGAGGTTTATTGTAAAAGAGAATACACTACTGAAAGACAGGGAATCGGGTGGCAGGCTAGTAATTCCTGAAGTAAGACCCTAGGTATATTCTGTGCTCACTATATATAGCTACTGATACAGTCAGTCCACATAGGCGATAAGGAGTGGTTATTTTCTAAGCGTAGCTTAGATGTGGCACAAGGCCGAAAGTATGGGGTACCTAGTGAGGATCGAACTCACTTTTCAGTTGTAACTGATCTAGCGAGACGAGCTTGCTAACCATTACACTACGCCGAGATGCCCAAGGCGATAAGTAGTGTGGGACATTCCATTGCAACATAAACATAGAATAATATTATTCTAATTTAGTTTTATGATAATTCTTATTTTATTTTACGGCAATTTTTTAAAGATTTTTTTTGTAGTTGTGCATAACACCTACCCCTGATTTTGATTATTATTTTTTTTAGAAAAAAAATGCGTATTATACATGGGGAATTACGGTGATTCCACTTGGGACATTCAGTGAGTATGTGGTTAACTCTTTGAGTCACGAGGGAGGCCAAATGTGTGAGCTTCCCTGTCGTGTAGAGTTTTCCAACAAAATCAAATTCATGCGAATGGCCTCGTCAAACTCTCTTTGATTCACTGCCAGAAGGGGGTGTTTCAAAGGAACAGGGCGAGAGAATGATGATCCTGATGCTCGGGTGTGAGAGGGTTCCGATGCTGTAGTTAACTCTCTCTTCAGCTTGTCCACACATCCTGCATTTGCTTTCTTCTTTTTTGTGATTTGTCTATCTTAGCTTTCATTGCATTCATTCCGATGTCCTGCTCGTGTGCTACAAATATGAGTGACTTTGTTTCTCTCTTTATGAAACCATCTGTTACCTAAAGTTACCTATCAGTTCCTCTGTCTACTGAAAAAATGGCCATGAAGATTCTTCTCTTGTGCCACTTCTTCCAAAACAACATTCATTTTACATGTATCGGTATTCTTATTTATCGAACTTGTCACAGGGAATAAGTTAATTATTCATAACACTGGTCAAGGAAAAAAAATTGAAATGATGTCGAGAAATCAAACATATTTTTTAGCTAGAGGGCGCTGAATCTGAAAATGACCTTCATTTTTATTGGTTAGCTACCGTTTTTGCTGTACAAAAATGACTCATGTTTGGGAAAAAAAAGCATTTTTTTCATTTGTTTTCTGTATATATGATATTGACCGATAACAATATTTCTCAAAATAAAATCGTAGAAACCTCTCAGTTCTTATTTAAACCAACAAATATTGGTCTGTTTATTGAGAAATACTATTTTTGCTATAACAATCAGACCGTAAGTCTTTAAAAATAACATGATTTTATATACTAAGATCAACAATTATTTTCATCAAATCATTTAATAAATTAACAGCAGAAATAAAACCTTCGTGAACATAAGAACTATGGTAAAAATTTTCTCTTTCTTGATTGTCTGTCATGTTCAAGTCCCTTTTGATACTCCATCAGTATCATGTACATTTGAATAGGTGCATTCAATTGGGATGTCTTCAGTTGGAGTTTCTTTTCAATTGTAAAAACAAAATGCTCTCAATGTGCTTGGTTTCCTACCGTACTGAAGGGATAAAGTGATGGAATAAATTTATGAATATCAAATAGAAGATTTTAGGGTTTTATTTTTTTGATGTCACCTTAATTATCAGGTTTAAGTGTATTACTGTTAAAGATTATCAGTTAATTTGAATTTACGCGATAAGTTGGAAAAAAATCGGTATTTCTATTTTAAAATGTTTTGACTGAAAAACACATTTTTTTTAATAAAAATAGTTTATTTCAGGTGGCTGACATAAAGTGCACAGCCTACCTGAAAATTGGTGGGTTTTTACGATCTTTATTAACTAAATTTTGCGATCAGCCAAGATCGTAAATTGTTTTGTTTTTTTTCCAAAAGTGAGCAATTTTAGTACAGTAAAAATGGTAGCTAACTAAGAAAAACTAAGGTCATTTTCGGAATCAGCAACATCAAATTAGCTAAAAACGTGTTTTGTTTCTTGGCACCAAAAATCGTGTTGACCAGTATAATTGGGCAGCAGTTGAACATTTGTGCCTGATTTAATTAATCAAATTAAAAAAATATATTGTTTGTATTTTTAACGATACAAAGATAAAAAAAGAATAGATTATACACGAAATGCATTATTGCATTGATAAATGTCACTTTTATGTATTTGTAAATTTTATCAATGTGCCTTTATTTGCAGGCTGATCTTGAAAAAACCTGGACAGTTTCAGACTCGCCTGCACCACCCACAAAGTAAGTCTAAAAGTCATACCAATCATGCTTGCAATTTAAAGGTTGTTCCCAAAATAACGCCGCCTCATTTGTTGTAGTGTTACAGCTGAGATCAGACATCAGGTTCTTTCTCAGGCTGAAGCTTCTTCCAGTCAAATACCTGACGCTTAAAAATAAACTCTTTGGTCAGATCGTTCCCCACAAAACGAAACCATGAGAATATAATAGCATTATTTACATTATTCGGGCTCTTATCCTCATCTTCAGTGTCATATTTGTAACGTTCCGGCCGTTGTACACGCTGGCCTTTATGTCTATGTCTCTCTATATATCTGTCTATATTTCTGAGATGAGGTATTATGATTACTTGCATTATTTACATTATTCGGTCTGTTATCCTCATCTTCATGGCAATATTCACAACGTTTCGTCCGTTGTACGTTCCGGCCTTGTTCAGGTGATTGGATCTCTGAGATGAGGTGTTATGATTACTTGCATTATTTGCATTATTCGGACTATTATCCTCATCTTCATTGCCATATTCACAACGTTTCGGCTGTTGTACGCTCCGGCCTTCTACAGGGGATTGGATCTGTGAGATGAGGTATTATTCATTCATTAAAGGATCTGAACAGGAGATCTGCATTATTTAAACAGGATAACTGAATTTTTCTTAGCACACACACACACACACACACACACACACACACACACACACACACACACACACCACCACCACCACCACCACCACCACACCATCACACCAAACACACACTTTTCTTCCTTCTCCCTCTCCCCTCTCTCGTTATATATATATATATATATATATATAGATATATATTGTCATCCACAGACACACTGTTTCGCTGTACCACAGCTCATCAGTTTGGCTAGACATCCGATTGCCTCAAGCCGGGATCGTTCATTTTTCTGTTATGTTGTTGCCCTAGAACCACATCATGAATTTACGACCCGCGTCTGCTATTCCGAGACCATTATTGTCGCATAGCGATCTTCTGTGTCAACATAACAGAATCTCATCTTTGGGTGTAAAAAGTATTTGTTGTTAAAATTCTTTTTTCATTCGGTTTTTCCAGTTACGAGTCCTTTTTTAAGGCTGATCGTTTTGTGTTCATTTTGTTTAGTTCTTTTTTCGTAACAGATTTAATGTTTAGTATGGAGCTTAGAAAAAATTCGCAGTGTGAGATAGGCAAGAAGTAAGGCATGTAGCAACATCAGCACGGCAAAGGGCACTCCTTTAAAGGCAATGAAGGGCAAAAATATTATAAGTCAAATGATAGCGATTGTTGTATGAGTCGTACGATTTTTTAATCAAGCACGGGCAACGCCGGGCCATGCTGCTAGTATATATATATATATATATATATATATATATATATATAATTAAACCTAAAGAGCCTGTTGTCTGTTTTCCATTTTTTTTGTGGGTCACGTGGTCATGATTTTATGTTCGCAGGCTATATATTCCGTTCTTACTTTACCTTTTTAGCCAGTCTTCCCTGACGATCCGCGTAGGTTTGTCTAGCTACTTAGGTTTAATTAGGTTTGCTGTACTTAGTGTATTCAGCACTTTATTTAGTTATTTTACTTACTCGTATCGGGGTTTTTTTCTTTGGACTCTCGACTTGAATACATGTTCATTGTTCTTTCTTTTTTTGTACCTTTTTTTTTTATTCCCTTTGGTACTGGTTTGATTATTTGCAAATCAAGACACCGAAGGTTTTCAGGACGAGTATAATCTCTTATATTTATAAGATTATTACTAGTATATATATATATATATATATATATATATATATATATATATATATATAAAGAAAAGAACAGTAAGGTATATAATCCGGTGTTCTCATAGATATTTTTATTTTTACAAAATAGTGCTCAATGTAAATTTACAGAGCATTAATTCGCAAAATTCGCTTGAGTATGAAATGGAACTAATGTCTTTAATTTAATTGCAAAATTAAATTCGAAGCTTTTAGCTTCCATTTTTGAAACATGATTAGAACTGTGTAGCGGAAAACCATATTTTAAATCAATTAATTTATAATATATATATATATATATATATATATATATATATATATATATATATATATATATATCTGTGTGTGTGTGTGTGTGTAATAATTAAGTCTTTTCATTTTTAGCCTTTCAGTTCTGAGTCAGCCGCCACTGTTTCGGGATTCCAGTCATCTCCAGTTGGGTTTCCCAATATCCCAAGATGAAAGCAGATCAAACCCAGATGAGAATCGCAGTCTGGCTCACCCACGAGAAGCGTGGAACTCTCCCGTGGTTTCTGCTAGAAGCAACCTGCCTCTCAGTGGTGTCTTCAGACCAAAGAGCACGGACGTCTTGCGGCTCTCCCCACCATCAACATCAACCAGTGGCAACAGAGGAGAGGGGGACTTTCCGGATGTCATGTCAAGATGTAAAGATGATGCAATCTGCAAGGAATGGTAAGTTCGTGAAAATGAATTATATTTCTTACACTTTTAATTTCAGTTTATAATTATTTTTTTTTATATTAACATGACGGTTACTTCTAAAACAACAATAATGTGGACACTTTCAATGACTATGACGATAAACTGCACCCCCGTCCTGGGTGAGACGATGGGCGGCGGCGGCGGCGGCGGCGGCGGCGGCGGCGGCGGCGGCGGGGCCTCTGATCGGGAGGTTTTGAGGAGCGTGGAACCATCTCTTGGTTGCTGGTGTTCCCGGGTCCGTGCTGAACCGGGATGGTGGCACCTATTGTGGGTAGGTAGTTGGCCCCAGGCTGGGTTCGGGGCGCTGTGTAAGTGTGAAGATGGGTTTTGGTGCCGGAAGTGCTTTGTAAATAACAAAATTTGCTGCCAGCAATGCATTTTTGAAAAAAAAAAGAAAAGATATTACTAGCAATATATTTTTGAAAGGGAGAATTATTGCCGGCAATACCAGCTATACATTTTTGGAGGAAAAATATTACCAAAAATAAAAATTTTGTCGGTATTAAATAACGCATTGAGGTTGATATGCCGTAAATCATACCAAACCAAACCAATCCAATCCAAACCAAACCAGACCAAAGCAAACTTCCAATGAGATATTTAAAAAATAGCAGCAGATGACTTGATATGGAAATGGCCACGCAGAAGAAACAATTTTGCTTAAAGTTCATATTTTCTTTATTACTGTTTATAATTATAATTCACCCCAAGGAAGGAAATACAGCCACTAAGATGGAAGGGGTTACTGAGTGCTAGAGAATTTGAGAGAAACACTGTTAAGGAGAGAGAACAAAGAAGAATAAGAATTAAAAAGATAGAAGATAATAATTAATATTGCATTTAAATTTTTGACTGTAAAGCAAGAAGTTAAAAAATAGTTTCACAAGCAAGAAGTGCGATCGAAGAACTGTTAGCATAGAACTTACGGTTACATCTAGCCATTCCAACTGTAAAATGATGAGACCTTTCCGCCAACCCAGTACTGCGCTTAAATTCATAAAATCTAGGTACCATAGAAAAAAAGTTCATCAGAACAATTACTATGAAATTATTTATAGAAAAGACAGAGGGTGACTATATTAGGACGGTGGAAAAAGGACTGAAGCTGATGTTTCGAGGAATGGAAAAAAACGTTTTTGTTTAATCAAATGCCAGGAAGATTTGACTTAAAATAATTTATTTCTTCCATATATTGTGATCATATTTATCACAGTATTTTCTTGCTATTTAGCATGGCTAATGCTAACCTCCAGGGAGGTATCTTTTTATGCCTTCTCGGACTAACATTTTCTGTTGACATGAAGTGGGAAGAGTATATTGAATCTTCAGCAAGGGGAATTGAAAAGGTTACAGGACTAAATGATTGGTACGGGCCAATAATATCCGTAATAAAAAGAAACGGAAAAATCCGAATATGTGTAGATCTCAAGAAACTAAATCTAACAGTGGAAAGAGAACATGACATGTTACGAAATTTAGATGATATTTCGCCTAAACTAAATGGAGCGAAAATTGTTCTTTTGAAATTGGATTCTACTAGCAGATTCTACCAAATTCTGTTAAGTAACATATTCCCGACTTCATTACTCTTTTGGGAGATATTGCCTCAGAAGATTACGTTTTAGTATAACATCAACTTCAGAAATCTTTCAAAGAAAGATGTCAGAATTGTTGTAAAATATTCAAGGAGTTGAAACAATTATCGACGATGTTCTAATCTACAGTAGAACTATGGAAGAACACAAAAGACTAAAAACTGTTCTTAAAACATTACAAAAAACCGGACTCAAGCTTAATAAAGAAAAGTGTGAATTCAAAAAGACATGACTAGAATATTTTGGACACATAATTTCTAGAGATGGAATTCAACCCAGCAAAGGAAAGACTAAAAGCATTTCAGGAGTTATCTGCCCCTACAAATTTAAGCGAACTATATTGTATAATCGACATGGTCAGATACTTAGACCCTTGAGCAAATACAGGAAGATGTGGAGAGCCATGATCACCTACACCCTTGTGAAAATTAATTGAAACAAAACGAACAATTTCGTTATTATTTATTTTTTTAATGTATTTTTCCAATAAAACATGACCCAGTGTACATGTCCATTCCACGAAGTCTTTCCTTGCAGATTAACAACAAATTATCGATTGGATTTAAATAAGGAGAGTTTCGGAGCCAGTCAACTATAGTTTGATTCGCTCACTAGTAAGTTCGTGCAGCGTTACAATTTTCGTACGCTTCCTTGGAGTAAGGGTCATCGCAGAGAATGGGCGTAGGACAACTAATCGACCGTCGAGACAATATTGTGTGTCGTAATAAAAATCTGATGCAATCACGGATCACGAAATATTATTCAAGGCCAAACAAATTTCATCAAACACCCCGAAAACTGATTCATATTACTACATACCACTGGAAATGACGTAATATGAGGAAAAAATAGAAATCGATTACACCCTGTCACTTCAGTGGGTCTAAAACTGACCGTATGGTGAAAGAAAGGAAATTAAAGCAGTTGTTTTAATTAATTTGCACAAAGGTGTAGGCAATCTCTTACCGAACTCGGAAATAATACAACCAATGATAGAATTATTAAAAACGATGACACAAGACGTGATCAACTCAACGACTGTTTTTATTCAAACTGCCGCTCAATCTCTTTTGCACCCATCATTCCCTTGTGGGACCGGAAGTACTTACAGTACTGTTATATAACAGCCCTTACAGCAACTTTATTCAGTAACGATCTACTTTGAGTATCTCTTGTGCCTGGTATTGGGGGAACAATAGTATTAAAAATGTTAATTTTGATACAGTGAATCATATAAGTAGCTAATGTAATAAATTAGCTTAGAAAGAATACAAGCATAAACATGACTGAGTAGAAACAGTCCTACACTAGAAACTGTGCAAGGTAAGGTGATCTGACCATACAGATCAATACAGATTATTTAATGAATATATATATATATATATATATATATATATATATATATATATATATATATATATATAAATTGTGTGTTTTAGGCAATATTTTTTCATTAATGCATGTTTCATTAAATAATATAGACAAGTTTTGTCTATTTATTTAAAGTAAATTCCTTTCATATTGTCGAATAAGCTTTTTAGCATTATGACTGAAACACGAAAGAAAATCACCGTGTTGATACATGTTTTTATTGTTAATCCTGTCTAAGCTACCGGCTTACATAAGTCATCATCAGAGATTACAAGTACATTACAATAAATTAAATAATAAATTATATAATAATGACGGTAATTTTTGTATTTGTAATCTCTGATGATGTAAGCCTAAAGTTTAAACAAGGTGGTCTGGTCCACAGTAAAGTTAAACAGATAGACATAGGTTCGTTTTATACCGGAGTCCAAAATATATAAATATCCACTCGGAAAGTGGACTCTTCTGGGATGTTGGTCTTACTTCTCTGTAAGGGATGAATTCATTGTATTCTAATCTGTCTATATTTATTTTTTAATTAACCAGGGGTTTCAAAGATGCTCGCACTGCTCAAATGATGCTTCAAAGAGCTAAGAAAATGAAATTTAATGCCGAGAGACGGGAAAAACTAAAAAAATTAGGTACGTAAATATATATATATATTAAAAAGAGGATGATTTATCTTGGTTGTCACTGCGCTCAAATTTCATTATCTATCTGAATCTGTTCATTATCTATCTATCTATCTATCTATCTATCTATCTATCTATCTATCTATCTATCTATCTATCTATCTATCTCATTCTATTAATATATATCAGTATTCTCTGAGACACTCTCATGATGGTAAAAATAAAAACATTTTAAAAAATTTTTCTTAACAGACCCTCGTCAGCGTCTGGCATTATTCAGGAAACTGGGAGAAGTGACTCCTTTGATGCCTGTAAAATCTCCATCAAGAAAAATGTTACCAAAAAAGGAATATTTCCAAGGTATGTTTGATGTTGCATCTCATCAATGGCAAACATTTCATTTCATTTCAATTAATGTTTACTACAAAACTGACGCAAAATGAAAAAAGAAAGAAAGAAAACAGGAAATAAAATAATTACAATCGTCTTATTTTATTCATTTTTGCATATGCACGTTATACTTTACTTGTCACTTCTAACCTTTTTTAATCACTTCACCCCAAGCATGGTGATAATGCCACTAAGATGTAAGTGGTTAATGGGAGTGAAAGAGAATGAGAAGTCTTTAGTTAAGAAAAAGGACAATAAATGATGCAAGAAAAAGATGGCGATAAACATTGCATTTAACTTTTTGAAGGTTGTAGGTGGCACGGAAACAAGAAACTAAAGAGAAATGTGAGAAAAGAAAATATTAAAATAGAAATGATCTATTTCAACAATAAAACTGTATGCCAATCTAGTAATATTCTTAAATTAATGCGATCGATGTACCAAAGTGGAGAGTCCATTAGAATAACAGCCTTGAAGATATTTATAGATAAGACGAAGAAAAGCCACCTTAGCGCTTAGGAAAAGTGATTAAAACTGAGATGCCAGGCCAGGACTATTAACATTGCAGCTCATTCTTTGGATTTTGTCGAGAACCTTGAGTCATATAAAAGGAGCACTAGACCAGATATGGCAGTAATATTCAATGCACGCACAAATGGTAGATTTATACATTTGCAAGATGGATTCCGCCAAGAAAAACAAATTTGTGTTTATTTACTCAATGTAAGAAGGTAAAGGGTTGAGGGTTACGGGGGTGGGGGTGGGAAGGCGGTGCATCTTCATCTGCTAGGGCATCAAAATGCGCTTCTAATGTCATCGGTCAATATCATGAGATAAGGGGCATTATTTTCGGAAGGATTCTAGTAAATAATAATAAAAAGAATGCTAAAACTAATAATAATATTAATGATAATGATGAAAAAAAATAATAAACATAATAAATACTGCTACTACCACTATTAATAACATTACTACTACTCGTACTACTACCATTAATATTAATACTACTACTACTTATGCTACTTCTACTACAACTAATAATAATATTACTACTACTACTACTAATAATAATGCTACTACCTTTACTATGACTAATATTACTACTACTACTACTAATAATAATACCCATGCAGAATATGGTAAGGTATTCAAAATAGTTTTTGGCAATCCTGGGCTATCATAAGCCACCATTCTCATGGTCTACCGAACTGTTGTAATTTCGACTCTCCTGTATACCTATGAGACCTGGGTACTCTAGCGAAGTGACATCCACTGACTTGAAAGACTCCATCAAATGAAACTTCGTCAAATCCTGCAAAACACGTAGTAGGACCGGATCACGAACAAAGAAGTTCTCCTCCGCGCAAAGATGGAGTGCCTAGAAACAATTATGACTCACCAGTGATTTTGATGTGCCGGTAACCTTGCCCAAATGTCAGATATCCACCTACCCAAATAAATTGTCTTCCTGGAGCCTGCATCTGGCAAGAGACCATATCGTTGATTCAAGGTTTACCTAAAAAACACCTTGCTGAGGACAGAAATCCATCTGGGGTGATTAAAACTGCAGAGATAACCAGTTGAAAAAGAGCAGTCCACGAAAAAAAAATCCTTCGAAAACACCAGAAGACAGATAGAAGAGACGAAGAGAGTCAAAAGATAAGAGACCTCGTGAAGCCGCAGTATCAGCACGAAAACCTCTTTCTGTGGACAGAAATTGGTCCATTCTATTGGGAGACGGAAGCTGCAGAAAAAAACCTGTTGGAGAGGCGCAAACCACGGAAAAATCCTTTGAAAACACCTGAAGACAAATAGAAGAGACGAACAGAGTCTAAAGAAGAAACCGCGTGAAGTCCCAGTATCAGCATGAAAACCGCTTTCTGTGGACAGAAATTGATCCGGTCAATAAAGAGATGGAAGCTGCAGAAAGAACCAGTTGGAGAAAAGCAGTCCACAAAAAAACCAACATCCTTCGAAAACATCAGACGTTAAATAGAAGAGACAAGGAGAGCGCAAAAAGCTCTCTATCTCCAGAAACCTTCTACCCTACCATGCGGTGGTTGGGGATACCTCTTCAGATATAACTTAGGGCTCATTTCACACAGAAGGAAATGACGATGAGCACCCCAATACTCGGCAATGAGTTTTGCCAACGATGACTACTACTACTGCTAATACAACAACAACAACTGCTACTGATAATACTACTACTACCTCTACTACTACTACTAATAATAATAACAATATTAATAATGATAGTACTACTAATAATAATACTACCATTTAACATTTACTCCCTTTTGTTTATTAGACATTAAATTACATCACTAAGTGTCCTCCATAGTTTATCTTGACTCTGTTAGGCTGATGATTAAAAATTCTAAAAACTAACAACATTTTTACTTCTGTGTATAAATACTTGTTTAGAAATAAAATCCTTACATTTGCCTTGATAAAGTCTATCAGAAGGCGAAACATCTAAGCTAAGTTTTCCTTTTGTCTTTATATTCTATATATATATATATATATATATATATATATATATATATATATATATATATCCTTGTGAAAATTAATTGAAACAACCACTTTAGTTTCTTTTCTTTCACCATACGATCAGTTTCAGATCTACTGGAGTGATAAGGTGTAATCGATTTCTATGTTCTCCTCAGATTACGTCATTTGCAGTGGTGTGCAAATATTGCGTCATCCCTGATTGCATCAGATTTTCATCACACTCAGACACTATTGTCTCACCTGTCGATTAGTTATCCATTGTCTGCGATGGACGTTACTCCAAGGAAGCGTTCGAAAATCATAATGCTGCACGAACACACTGACAAGACTTACCAGTGAGCAAATCAAAGTACTATCGACCGAGTTGGAAACTCTCCTGTTCAGTTGAGAGTCTGTGGTCAATCTGCAAGGAACGACTTCGTGGAATGGGTGTACGAACTACTAACATGTGCACTGGGCCATGTTTTATTGGAAAAATACGAAAAAAGGAAATAATATCTGGAATTATTCGTTTTGTTTCAATTAATTTGCACAAAGGTGTGTACATATATATATATCAACAGATAGATATTCAGAGAATGTAACAGATATTTCATCATTGTCTTTATTGATATTGTTGTTTTACAGATATATTTTTATCTATATCTGAATGTTTACACCCCCATATATATATATATATATATATATATATATATATATATATATATATATATATATATATATATATATACTATTTACATTATTCGGAGTATTGTCTTCATCTTTGTCGCCATATTTATTACAACGTTTCGGCCGTTGTATGCTCCGGCAGTCTTCAGGTGGTTGGAATGTCGAACTGAACCCTTTATTTCGCTCACTGGGGTAGACTGTTCTAGTTCCACATGACATGTTTTTAATGGATGTCAGTTATCAGTTATCTCCTGTTAATTCCCCTCTCCAAGTACTCCACTGCCTTAACCGGGTATTAAACTCACGCTATTTGGGTCCATGAGGACACATGGCACAGTGGATAAAGGCGTTGGTTAGATCCAGTGACAGGACCTAAAGAAACGTTGTAATAAATATGGCGACAAAGATGAGGGAAATAGTCCGAATAATGTAAATCGTGTACATAATACCTCATCTCAGAAATATATATATATATATAGCGCTACATTTAATTTCTCTTGTTCATTTCATTTAAAAGCCCGTCAACAAAACATGGGACTTAACATTGGTTACTTTGAGATGATGACCAAAGAAGAACAAAATAAAATTAAGGAATCACGCACTTATCAATGGATCCACACCCAAATTTCTCCTTTCGACAACAGTGACCAGAGGAGTCAACAAAGGTCAGTTAATTTCTCTAACTATTCTGCCAATATATCATCATCAGCAGCAGCATTATTAGCAATTTAACCAAAAAATGTTAATCACTAATTATTTTAGTTAAATGTCGAGACGGACTTATCTCAAATGATGCCTAAATAGGCGTAACATTCAAGAAACCAGGCGCTAGTTTGACCTGACAGCTGACCCTTCTAGACGATCGTTTCTCAACCTTTTTACCCTTGCATAACCCTTAAAATAAATTTCATGTCTCAAAGAACCCCTGCGCAAAAACAAAATTATATACCATATCTTTCTTATTTTATTTTTATCGTAGTTCACGCGGTAAATATCATAGTATATATTTTTGAATAACTGGTATAAGGAAAAATTAATACTATGTCAAATTTTTTGGTAATACTAAATAAAATTCATACTTTTCATTTATAATACTTCATCAGGGAGAAATAAATAACTTTGATTACAGGTTCCATTCGCTGAGTGGGCACTGACTAGTGAAGGTGGTTTTCACACTGGCACTTTACAGACATAACTAAATATATTACCAATGATTGTTACATTTTTTAATAATAGGTTAGATAGGATGATGTCTATTATAATAACCAAGAATATATATTGTGTGTTTAGTAATATTACGTATATGAAATTAAATAAAAAGTCAAAAGTGTATTAGCTTATCTCACCTGTTCTCGCGGAACCCTTGGGGACATTTTGCGGAACCTTAGAGTGCCGAGGAACCCCAGTTGAGAAATGCTGGTGTAAATAGTTAAAATATCTC